AAATGAAGCTTATGCTTCTAGAGGCAGAACTATATCATAAGTTCTGGACTCAAGTTACTGAAGTCACACTTAAGTTCATTCTATTATCTACCCTATGCTTAACTAATACTAGATTTAGGTACTTTCAAATTTAAAAATGGTCAAGGTACAAAGAAATGGAAAGACATTTCATGTTCATGGTTAAGAAGAGTCAACATTGTTAAAATGCCCTTATTACCTAAAGCAATATATAGATTTAATGCAATCCCCTTGAAAATTCCAATGGCATTTTTCACAGAAATAAAACAAACAAACAAACAAAAACTTCTCAAATTTGTATAGAACCACAGAAGACCCTGAAGAGCCAAAGCAATCCCAAGAAAAAAAAAACAAACAAACAAAGCGGGGGGTATCACACTCCCTAAATTCAAATAATACTACAAATCTACAATGATAAAAACAGTATGGTATTGGCAGAAGAACAAACACACAAGCCAATGGAACAGAATTGAGAGTCCAGAAATAAACCCATACATATATGGGCAGCTAATTTTTGACAAAGGAGCCAAAAATACACAACAGAGAAAGAAAATGGTATTGTGAAAACTGGAAAGCCCATACAAAAGAGTGAACCTAGACTGCTATCTGACACCATACATAAAAATTAACTTGAAACAGATTAAGGACTTGAATACAAGACCTAAAACAATAAAATGCATAGAAAAAAAAACATAGGTACTAAACTTATGGACCTTGGTTCTCAGAGAGGTTTCATGAACTTTAACCCAAAGGCAAGGGAAATAAAAACAACAATAAATGGAACTACACAAAACTAAAAAGCTTCTGCACAGCAAAATAAATCATTAACAACAAAAAAAGGCAACCTATTGAATAGAAGATATTTACAAATGATACTTCCAATAAGAGACTAATATCTTAAATTTATAAAGAACTAATACAACTCAATGAACAACAAAAAAACAACCCAATTAAAAAGTAGGCAGAGGACTTTTCCAAGGAAGACATACAAATGGCTAATAGATTTATGAGAAAATACTCAATATCACTAGTTATAAAAGAAATGCAAATCAAAACCACAATGAGGTACCACCTCATACTTGTTAGAATGGCTATTATCAATAAGAAGAAATAACGTGTGTTATTTCTGTAAAGAAAAGAAAACCACTGCACACCACTGGTGGGAATGTAAATTGGTGCGACCTTTATAAAAAACAGTATTGGAGTTTCTTCAAAAAAGTTAAAAATGTAGTTACCATATGTCCCAGCAATGCCTCTTCTGGGTATGTAGTCAAAAAATTGAAAACATTTATTCGTAAAGATATATGTACCCCTATGTTCACCGGAGCATTATTCACAACAGTCGAGAGAGGGAAACAACTTAAGAGACCTTTGATGGATGACTGGATAAGAAAGATGTGGTACATATATGTAACAGAATACTAGTCAGCCATAAAAAAGATTAAATATTGCCATTCGCTATAACATGGATGAATCTTGAAAGTATCATGCTAAGTAAAATAAATCAGACAGAAAAGGACAAGAACTGTATGATTTCACTTAGTGTAGGATATAAAACAAAAAGCAACAAGTGAACAAACAAAACAAACAAACTTGTAGATACATATAATAGAATGGTGGTTACCAAAGAAGAATGGAGGTAAGGAGGATAAAGAGGTTAAACAGGGTCAAATACATGGTGACAGAAGGAGACTAGACTTTGGGTTGTCAGTTCACATTGGAAATACAGATGTCATATTGTAAAGTTGTAAACCTAAAATTTATATAATGTTATTAACTAATGTTACCTCGATAAATTTAAACTAAAAAGTTTGTTATAAATTAAAAATACAAAGAATAGTCAAGGATTTATTTCGACATTACCAATATATAAATATGTTAATACTCTTCAGAACATCCTCAGGAAAATAAAACAAAATTCCCAGTACATATAAATTTTATTTGTTAGAAAACAATCTGAAATGCTGTTATGTACACAGAGAATATTGACTACAAAATTTGTCTTCCAAGTATAAAAATCATATAGTTTGCAAAGAAGCATAGCTATTAACCAAAAAGATATACAGCTGCCCCAAAGGCTTTATATCCTGAAGTTACATAAATTTTTAAGACATTTAGAGAAATATAGTGAAACAAAATGAGACTAAGTGAAACAAGTGAAACAAAGCAAACTGATTTGTAAAAAATAGGAATTTATTATGTGAAACATTAAAATTCAAGGAAAAGATTAAAAAAGAATACAGAGACACAGTGAAAAAACAGGTCACAGACATAGAACATCAAAGCATTAATGTCGAAAAATCAAAACAAGAAAATAATCAAGAAGGGTTAACCTCATAGACTTCCTTCAATTGAATCTAGTTCAGAGTTTTAAAGAGATATAACTGGTTGATAGAAATCACAAAATGGCAGCTCATAAGTCAAATCTTTAATAGCTTACAGAGCCTTTTTTTTTTAATCAAGTTACAAAATCAAATTTTATGTAATATTTTAAACCTAGTTTTTTTCTGCCTTTTTTTTTTTTTAAGAAAAAGGCGTAGCAATGAGCTGGAGCTCAGTAAACGCTATCCTCATTATATAAAGCTTTCTAGTTTGCCACCAGTTTTACTCACCTTATATTTACTCATTTACATTACCAGCCTGCCCTCTATAGTCAAGTAAGTTCATGAATCCTTATTTTCCATCAAACAAATTCAAGTAGTGAAAGTGATCAATGGGAGAAGCGATCTCAGGATTAGGCATCATTAGAGAGGCTCATTTGTTCATTCATTCATTCATTTGTTCATTCATTATATACATATGAAGTATCTGAAATGTTCCAGATGCTAAACTCAAATCAGAATATAAATATCTGGGACTTATTTTCATCAAGAGAATATGTAGTCATAGATCTGAAAGTATACCAAGATGTCTGTAATAGAGAGAGCTGAAGACTGGTAAATTTTAGAAAATGAAATGAAAAATTCTAAAGAGTGCTAACAATTACAGGGGTCTCAAAGGATAAGGACTTTAAAGAAGGAAAGAACAGTAAGCAGTGTAGAACTGTGGCTGAGAAGTGAAGTCAAATAAGCATAGAGAAGACCATTTCATGATTTAAGTAGCAAATCCCTGGTGACATTTAAGAGGAGACTTAGAGTAGAGTGATAAGCAGGTTGAGTAGTGACAAAATGATATGAAAAGACATAAAAGAGAAAGAGAGATCAGGCGGGATGGGTATTAAGAAAAATGGTGGGGGTGGGGTGCAGAGATGCCAGTGTAGAGGGCTGAATATGTGCAAAAGAGAGTTTTAGCATGAGTTCACAAAAATAAGGATTATGCTGGAATGAATTTGATTTAGATGGAATACTATTAACCTAAATTTTGATATCAGAGAATAATCTAACTTTCCATAAACCATATCCTCAAGGTCACTTCTTGAGATAAATTCTTTCACCATAAAAGCTTTAATTTACACCAAAATTTAGTGACAATAAGCTACAAAAGAAAATCTGTCAATTCTCAATTATGCTTTATGTTTCACTTATGATACCATCGAAAATTAGAGAAAATGTTTCTGGGTCTTTGTCTCTGCTGAAAATGACAATTTTCAAAGATGTATTTAATCTTAAACCAATGAAATCAAGTGATATTATTCTCTAGAATCTTCTCTATACATAATAATCAAGAGAAAGAAAGATTCAAGTACAAATGATATGTTTGTACATTTTACACTAGGAAGATAATGTTTATTGCATTCTTTTGTGCATCTCCATCAAACACGATATTTCCTCCAACTTTGCCACTGGAAAAATCAAATGGCAAGTACATGCTTATCAGATAAGGATCAAATGAGCTCAGTAAAAGAAAAAGTCAAATGCACTTAGTTTTGAATTTTCATAAGATAATGTGGCCTGAGTAAGACAACTTATCAATATCTCTATTTCATTTCTGTAGCTGTGAAATAGTAAGAAAAAAATAAGACCTGGAATCCGATTGTGGCTTAACAATAAAAACTCCCTAACCTATTTCTTTATAGAACTTTTAAGCAAAATGCTTATAATGTGATTTTATAATAAAGGTATAATTTGAATTGGAAGTAAAACTGACTTTTCCAAAATATTTTAATAATAAATTATGTTCCACTGCTGCTTCTCTCTAGTAGACACTTCTCTACCTGGAATTTGGTGCAAAAATATACATTTATTGGTTATTTGTTATTCAACTGGTTTATATACATAAAGCACTGTACTTTGAAAAGTCTTATCTATATATATTGATAATTGAGATGTATTAGTTATTGGAAAACAAGAGTAGAATACCCAAATATACTTGTCATATTTGTCATGCCTTCTGTATGACGGGTGGTACAAAGTCGACTGAGTCTTTCTTCTACAGTATATGGGGAAAATAAAAACAAAAACGACTCAAGTGCTTGCTTCTTGAGGTCTTAGTTTCCAAGTGGAATTTTGGTGACCTTGAGGCCAGACTTTAGAGCACATCTGGAGTAAATCTGGATATTCCTTACCTTCACGTCTACTTCCTCCATTACATGACCAGTAAAGACAACAACCAGCCAGAAATGAGTCACAGAAAGGTTTTATTGCTTCCTGATCTGTCATTTGTATAATCAGGTTTAGGGATTTCTAAATTCTCAACCAACTATTTTCCTATGATTCTTAGTAAAACCGTTGTACAAAGTAAGATTAGCAGAGATTTTTCTCTCTCTCTTTTAGAGTATAGAGATTGCAGTTAAGAAATGTAAAGCTGAGAAATTTTCCTATTCATATAAAAATGATTTATCACATATGTTTAACCACCAATCAATCCCACAGCCTATATAAATGGATTGCAAAACCAGTAGAAATAAATAAAAATGATCATCAAAGGTCCATATCTGCTATTAGGATAAGTACTAAAGAGCCTATTTTGCTAGAAGCTCAATACTTAAGACAGGAATTTATGTAGTACTCAGCCAAAACCTGTGTAACATGTGATCTACTTACCCCTGCAAGGCTTTCTCTCCAAACCAATCTCCTTTTCCTAAAGTTCTAAGAAAGATTGGGTCTTCACTTGGTGAGTCTTCACGAGTGACATTTACCTACGAAGAGAAAAAATGAAAGTCTATATCCACTGTATATCCTGGAAAACCAAATAAATTAATAACTAATTAATAATGTTCATTCCATTTCTTGTTTCTTATTTTAAAACATTTTTTATGAAAAATGAGTTTATCACTAAAGGAGCCAAAGCATTATGTCACAAATTCCCATGCAAACCACAAGAAATGACCTCTAAATATTTTGTTATAATTACAAGTTATTTTCAAGAAATAATAAACTATTCAGAAATTTGAATTTCACTTAATCCTCATCTCCATTCCTATTTTCTACCTCCTATGAGGCAACCACTATAATAAATTTAGTGAACATTCCTCCAATCCTTTTTTATGTGTTTAAATGCATGTGTTTTTAAAATATATGAATAGCACAATATGGTACGTATTATTCTGTGACTACATTTTTCCCTTAAGACTATTTTATTAATCCCATGCTATTAGATATAAGTATAGTCATCTATTGCTTTCTTCCACTCTATAAATATACTTATGTATTCATTTCCTTATATATGTACATTTATGTTTTCACTTTTTCTGCTGCAATGAACATATCTATACACCTCTACATGTACATCCCACTTTCTCTAAGACATGCCTAACTCTTTCCTTAAGAAAAATCTACCCTTCACTCAAAAGCCAGTCTCATTGTCATGATGCTTTCCTGCAGGTCACCAACCGACTTTAGTTCTCATGGCCTCAGGATCCACATGTTTCATTCAGCAAGATTTCTTTTTCAAAACATATAATTATATATGTGTCTTTTTAAATCATAATAATAATATGCTCTTCAGGGAAATGGGTATTTCTTTGGCATTATCTACAATTTATAATAAGCACTTAATAAATAGCTGTAAATTGTTTGAACAGAAAGGCTTCCTGACTGAGTGTAACTTGCCCCATACAGGACTTGTGACTTACATGATAGACCACAAAAGGCAAGTAGTAATGTTTTTGTTGTATGGATACAGACATAAATGCAATAAATTTTACCTTTGTGTTAATTCACTTCTCCCTCCAGCTCTACTGATATTCATAATATTGGTTATGTCTCCCCAGAAAGATTAAATAGTTAAAATATACCTGACTGGAAAATAAAGTAGAAAAACTAATTTTTTGAGACAATGCCAGACACTTAAACATTTAAAAATATAATGTTTTAGGTTTTCTAATTTAGATTGCATGTCAAAGACCAGAATTTTTATAAATATTAAGAAGGTCCATGCAAGGTGGAGGGAATTTAATTATTATTCTCCATTGATCCACTTGATTACTCCTCTATACAATGTTTCAAAACCTTGGGAATGCAGTTTTTACCACTAAGCTATATTACAGAGATGATCATTTGCATGCTGATGAGGCTTTTATAGATGTGAATAGAAATATACCAGCCCAATGAATCTTAAATGTGTGTGTGGGGGCGGGGGGCTTCTTATTTAAAATAAAGTTTCCTGAGGTTCAGATTTAATGGGTCTTTTAAATCTGCATTTCAAAAGTTTAATGCAGGTGAGTTAGATGCAAATGTTCTACAGACCAAACTTTGACAACATTGATATATTGTCTTTCTGAACTTCAGTTTTCTCATCTGCTCAATAAGGCAGTTTAACAAAACTATTTCTGTCCTTCCTCTTGGTTGTTACAAAAAGTCACAGTCTAAGGTATAATATATTATAAGATCATTAATTCAAAATTAGATATAGGATATATTATACAATGGTACATTTGCCATTTGGTTAATAAAATACAATTAGAAATTCGAAATGACAGATTTATGTAAGCCATGGAGAAATGTTCTTTAAAAAATGTTACTGAAATGCAATAACATAGACATAAAAAATGAGTTAATAAACCACTTTCTGCTTATATGATAAATGTGAGAAAACTAATTGAATAATTCACATATGTGAAAAGATAAGCAGCTCAAAGAGCAAGAATAAAGATTTCCTTTAAAGTTGTAATTTCCATAGTTTTTCTTTGTATATGTAATAAATCATTCTAAATATTCAAAGATAGCACTCATGAACATTTGCATCTTTAATTGTGAAAAAGTTCAGAATAAAGTTAAATATACAGAGCTAGCTTTTCTATCCTTGGCATGTACACTTATTCCTTTCACTGAAACCACAAATACTTTATGATAGACAATGCTGTGGAAAAGGACTAGCTATAGAGCCTTAAAGATAATATTCAGTCTGTTTGAACCCATGTTACTTGGCCACCTTGTCAAAAAATTGGAAGGTTTATCATAGAAGTGTGTGTGTGTGTGTGTGTGTGTGTGTGTGTGTGTGTGTGTGAATTAAATGAGAAAATCTATCAAAAGTATCCTCTCGATAAATGCCCCCAAAACTCAGTTGCTTTTTTCATATTTTCCCCTTTCTATTTCTTTCACTTCTTATTTCAGAAGTTTCATGCATTTTATTGTAAAATAATTATTGCGTATCACTATTATTTCTTTTTTATTGTTGCCATAAAATGTGATTTAGAAGATTAATTACTTTTAGTTCTAGCTAAATAAAGGGTGTGCATTTTTATGCTTTTTAACTTATCTATATATTACTTTTTCTATAAGACATGCATGACCTTGTAACTTAAAATTTTGAAACTACTGTTTAAAACCATATATAATTTTTAAAATTAAGGATCAAAATAGAAATTAGATATGTTAAATAGGACACGCAAATTAATCTTGCATACCAAAATCTTCAATGAAAAATATGAATGTGCTGGACAAACATGTTTAACCAAAAACAATTCAAAAACAAAATGTTTTAGTACAGATTCAACAGGTTTTATAAACAAAGTAATGTCTATTGTAAATAAATCTGGACTTTGCAGATGTGTGGGGCAGACCTGCTGGAGAATAAGGGTTAGACTGGTAAGCATTTTCCTACCTAACTGAGGAGGCCTAAAACCAAAGCATTTTCTCAACTGTGTAATTAATAGATTATAAAACTGAAGAGTCCCAAAAGCATCTACTTTTTCAAACAATGTTTTGCACATATTGCTCAAAAATGGGTACCGTTTTTCCAAAACCAAAATGTCTCCTAATGCAGAAGAACACTTTTAGGAGCTGTATCTGATAGTTTGTTATATGTACAGGGAAAGAATTTTTTCTGACCTTAAAGTGCATCTGCATTCTTTGAATCATTAGTTATATTCGATGGGGGTTAGATCTATAATTCTGATGAGTCTGGTTAGACAATTGAACTTTCTGTGTAACACAGCAGTAAATTAGAATATCTCTCCATCACATGTCCCACTCTCTCCCCCAAAACATATGGTAAAGTTTACATTCATGATTCTCTTTGTAATATTTCTAATTTAACGTGTGTGTGCACATGCACTCACATGTACACACACCTCATTCCATGTATAAATATCATATAATTTCCTGTTTTTAAAGTTTATATATACATCTAAAAATTACCAATTGCCTGGTTTTGAACTCTATATAAATAATATCATGGCACACATATTCTTCTGCAACTTGTTTTGTTTAATCAATATTTTACTTCAGATTTATTTAAGTCATCCATGTTAATATATTATCCCTCTGTATGAATATCATATAATTTATTATTCCATCTGTAGATGTAAATGTGCACTTCTTCAGGTTTATTTTATAGTTTTATTTTGGTTTTGTTGTGCTCTTAACAACTACTATAAACATTTTGTACATTCTCTGTTGTCCATGGGTACTTACGAATGAAGAACAAGGTTATAAAATATAATACTTACGAATGAAGAACAAGGTTATAAAGTATATATATCTTCAATTATATTACGTATCGACTTATTCTTGGTGCAAGAGGTCACAGCAATTTACATTCCTACAGTATGAGTGTATAAAAGTTCATATTGTACTATATTGTCCTCAACACTTGCAAAAGAAGGTAGGTGTTAGGGGGCATTTTCCTGATTATTAATGGAGGTAGAGAATTTTTTATATTATTTTACAGATCAGTTCTATTTCTTTTTTATAGATGTTCCTGATCATGCTTTTTACCTATTTTTCTATTGAACTGTTACTTTTGTCATTCATTCACATAGCCGTGGTTTGTCTTTTACTATCTTTATGATGTCTGACCAAAGTTATTAATTTTAATGTAATCACATTTAACCATGTTATCCTCTATTGTTTGTACTTAATAAATTTCAAATAATCTTTCCTATCCCAAGATGATAAAAGTGTTCCCCCAATTGTCTTTTTTCCCCTAATTTTTCCTTCATATTCAGATCTGGAATTTACCTTTGAGTATTATGTCAGGTCAGGCAGGATTCAATTTTATGTATTTCCCTATAAATAACCAACTGTTTTGGAATCTGCCATAAATCGAATTTCCATATAGGCATGTATCTTTATATAAGTTCACTATTTTCTTATTCTGATATATTTACCTAATTTACAGTAAAATTAGAGGCACATTTTCTTTATTACCTTAACCTTATAATAATTCTTGATATCTACTAAAGTAACCCTTCCCCAGTATATTCTTTTTCTTCCAAATATTTTGTCCATTTTGGTCTTTTGCTCTTCATTCTAGTTTTCTTATATAAAAAATTTTAAAGCAATTTGAACATTTTTGTTAATTACTAGGTACTTAATGTAAAAATAAATTTTTAATTTATATTTTTTACTGTTCTTTACCAGTGCTTAGAAATATGTGTAGTTTTTAAATGATCATATAGTAAAATTGAGTTTTTTCTTCTTTTGAAAGAGAGTTCTATGAATTTAAATATATGTATAGATTTGTCTAACTCCCACCACAGTCAGATGTAGAATGATTCCATCATCTCAAGAAATCTCCTTATGTTATGTGTTTATAGTCACATCCTACCCCAAATCTTACCCCTAGAAACCACTAGTCTGTTCAGCATCACATTAGTTTTAACTTTTTGAGAATTTCTTGTAAATGAAATGATAAAATGTTTAACCTTTTGAGATTGGCTATTTTTACTCATAATGCCTTTGAGAGTTATCCAAGCTGTTGTATAACATAAAAGTTCACTTTGTCTATTGCTAAGTAATGTTCCATTGAATGAATGTACCACAGTTTATGTATTCATCCACTGAAGGACATTTCCAGTTTGGAACAATTATGAATTGAGAAGTATAATTAGTAGGTCATGGGGTAAATGTTCATTTAACTCTATAAACTGCCAAATTGTTTTTAAGAATGGCTTTACCATTTTGTGTGTGTGTGTGTGTGTGTGTGTGTGTTTGTGTGTGTGTATGTGTGTGTACGCCATTCTAGTAAGCATACAACGATATCTCATGGTTTTAATTTGCAATTCCCTAATGACTATTGATATTAAATAACTTTTTCATGTGCATATTTATTGTCCTTATATCTTTTGTTGAATTGTCTAGTCAAGTCCTTTGTCTATTTTTAAAAATAGTTTTTAATTGATTTTTGATATTTTTATTATAGGCTTACTGCAAGCCTTTTGTCAGATATATGATTTTCAAATATTTTTTCCAATTTTAAAGTTTGTCATTTTATTCTCTTAATAGTGTCTTTCACAGAGAAACATGTATAATTCCAATAGGACCCAATTTTTATTTTTTTTCTTCTATGGGTTCTGCTTTTGGTATCACATCTAGGTAGTACTTTGAACTAACCCCAAGTCGTGAAGATTTTCTTCTAAAAGTTTTAAAGCTTTACATTTCATTTTAAAATTTATTATCAATTCTTATTTAATTTGTATATGAGTTATAAAGTTGAGGTCAAAATTCACTTTTTTTTGCCTATGGATGCACAATTGTTCCAACACCATTTGTTGGAAAGACTTTCCTTTCTCCATTGATAGCTTTCTTTAATTGCTTCCTTTGACTTTCACCATTAAGTGTGAAGTTAGTTGTAGGTACCTTGTAGATATACTTTCGTAGTTTGAGAAAACTTTTTATATCCCAGTTTGCCGAGTTTCTATTATGAATGATGTATATATCAAGTGTTTTAATTACATCAATTGACATGCTAATGTGATTTTTCTTCTTTAGACTACTAATAAAGTAGATTACATTGAATGATTCAGCTTTTTCAAAATTTAATTTATAGTAAAGTATCTAGTTTTGTAATGTCCAATAAGGACATTAGCTGCACATAGCTATTCAGCTATTGCAATGTGGCTATTGCTACTGTGAAACTGGATATTTAATTTAAGTTAGTTAATTTTAATTTAGATAGTGAATGGAACTAATGACTACTTTGCTGGGCTGTGAAGATATAGAACAATTCTATCAACAAAAAGTACTGAACGATGCTGATCTAGCTAAGCTCTTACTAATTTTAATTTTATCTCTCTACATAACAAACTCAAAAGAAACTAAAATCATACTATCTGTAAATAACTACTGTTTTATTATTTTATTTCCAAACATTACATCTTTTTCTCGCTTTACTGCAATGGTTGAAAAGTCTAGTTCTACACTGAACAGAAGTGAAGATAATGCACATCTTTATACTATTCTTTATCTAAAAGGAAATGCTTCTCATGTTTCTCTGTTATGTGTACATAATCATATGTATATATACAAATACACAAATAAAATTTCCATAAGAGAACATTTTCCATATTCAACAACACCAAACGTTTAGCCAATTTGTTTAACATGCTTAAGCACTCGTTAATTCTAAGTAAAGCCATGTGGTTTTAAATGACATTTAATAGACAAGTATTTTTGAATTATACTTTTTTTCTAATAATAGCATACAACATACATTGACTAGAATCAGAAAATCAAATTTCATTTGAATTATTGGAACCCAGGAATTTTATTTATGAATCCTGTTCAATTTTTGTTCCACTTATTGATAGAGAAATATCTTATTTTTGATGCTACACAACTACAGGGACATATGCATAAAGCTAATTAGGGATTTTTTTCATGCTCAGTTGTGAATTTTTTGGTACTTTAGAGGTCACTGTTAGGGGGAAACTCTCGTTTCCAGGCACCTGGAATGGACCGATTAAAGTACAGAAAACTAATTCAGCTTCTACTTGAAGCAGCACCAGAAACTCTAGACATCCCTGCACTATACTCTGCTTAAAATCTTAGAAAAATCACCTTGTGTAGGTTTAATGGGGAAAAACAAATATTTCTAAGTTTATTTTACTTAGTTTTTCTCTTTGTGTTCATGTGCTTTACAAATGAATAAAAACTGTTGTACACTTAAATAAATAGACTTGAACAAGGGGAAATCCATTTTCAGTTCTCTAGTCCCTTGTTGTGTGTCTCTGTTGCACATTTCCTATGGAAAAGTCACTTTGGTGATAATGAGGAAAATATCTTTGCCAGGTTTATAAACTTTTTAAAATGCATGTGAAAACAAATTTACATCTGTATACCTAAAACAAAACACACTTGGTTTAAAAAAAAAACAAAAAACTTGAATATGTCAAAAAAAATCTAATATATTCTTACTACTTCTCTCCCAGAATCCCTATGGTGCTCTAAAATATTGCCAAGGAAATTTGTTCTCGGTATAATTTCCAAGATATTTCTATTTAGACATATTATTAAACTCATGAAACAGTACCACTAATGCACCTGTGTCCGCTGAAATTAGTTGGAAACACAGCCTCCTTCAGGCAGTACTGGGAATTTGCAGTGGTGATAGGGTATTCACATACCTGTCGGAAATTCATCTTACCTGATAAACGTATTATTTCCCTGTAGCAAAAAATCAGCAATGGAATAAAAAATAAACTCAGATCATCAGGGTAAAAAGTCTCCCTGTGACCAAAAGAATCATTTACATCGATGAAGATTTTCAGTTTTCCCTGATTCTTTAGTCAATGTTAAAAAGTAAAACAGTAGATGGTAGGCTCTAACAATTTACATATAAACTACAAAATATTAATGGTTCTTATCTTCTAACAATAAAAAAACAAGATAGAGTTTTAACCATGACTGTGATTGAACATGTCATTTTATGATGCCTTTTAAGAAGATGGTCCCTGACTTCTATTTCTATTCCAGGCTTTTTGATATCAGTCAAAAGACTAGGTATAATACAAGCATCATTTTCTTCACTTTAGTGTGACATGTCACTGGTGTAAACATTGACGTATGCATATTCTTGATTCAAAATTAGTCCAAAGAGGATTATCTAAAATATGATTCAATGAGGTTTATAATCTTTTACATATCCTGTTCACTGTGGTTCTTTAAATCTCTTCCTATTTTAATATGAGCCATAAGGTGCCATAATCAGTCATATTTGTTAAATTAGAGGAAATAAATTTTCCTCTTTAAAGTAACAATTATAAAAATGAAAACTGTTATATAAACTCCCTTCCACCTACATTTCCTTCCCCATCTCTTACTATACTTAATACATATAAATTCTTTTTAGGGACCATTTATGATAAAATAAAATAAGTTCAAATAATAGGTTATAGTGAAATAATACTTAAATACAAAAATGACTGTGACTTTATTTTTTAAAGGTATTTTTAGCAATATAATATTAGAGTATCAATCTACAAAATTCCCATTTTCCAATTCACTTAATTTCTTATTTAGTTTTAAATAAAAATTGTAATAGATTCATAAACAATATAAGAAATAAATTGATTCCTTTAAATTCATTTCCCGTCTACCCCATATTTATTCCTTCCTCTAGAATTTATCATTTTAAAGTTTTTCAGTATCCATTCAATATTTCCTTATGAAGATATAATAAAACATGGATATATTTACATGCTTAGTGTCCTCAGAGTGTTAAACAATTTGCCTATGGATAAAACTAGTCGGTTTCACAGCCCGATTCAAACTTGGGTCATGTGATTTCAAAGTCCGATGTTTCATTATAGCAATGTTACTGCCCCGAATGACTAGATAGATTTTTTTCCCTGTTAAAGATTTTTAAGTGATCCTAGTCTTTTCCTTTTTAATTACATAATTTTAAATTATGGAAATCTTCCTATTTATCCAGAAATATCAGTGGCATCTAGCATCAGGATAATTATATTATAGCAGAAAGACTACTGATCTTCAAAGGTACACTTTTTCTTCCTTCTGCATTATTTTTGGGAAATTTATTCTCAGATATTCCTCTTTCAGTTACAGAAAATGGAAAAACTCATCCAGCTGGAAAACTCACACACATTCTCCTCCAGGGGTCGCTGAAGAACCCCACGCTCACCTCCTGCACCTCTTGTGCCACCAGAGCTTACCTTTCCTTTGCTGATGATAAAGAACGTGTCCCCTCTTGCACCTTGTCTGATGATATATTCCCCATTTTCATAGTGGGTCTGAAAATAAAAAAAGAAGCAGAAAAAAACATTAGAAAAGAAAAAATTTACCAAATAACTCAACCTTTTCCAATATCATCTCCCGAGGGAAGAACTGATCCTCATGGAGCTTCATCAAAGCCTGGAATCCATCATGGTTTAAAAATGAATAGTTAATGAACATAATAATTACAAAGAAATCATTTCTATCAAACACATTTTTAAAACTTTTGTTAATGTCATTTCTTCTGGATGATTACTTTCATATCTTTAAATTCATTCATTTTAATAGTTTAATGAAAATATTCTGTTCTCCCATCAACTGAGCATAAAATAAAACATCAGAGCTGCTAATTAAAACTGGTATTTCTGCATTATTTTATTTGTCATTCTCATTTGGTTTTACTATTCCCATAATGATAGCCTTTTTTTTTTTTCCCTGAGAAATTACTGCATCTAAAAATCTTCCTTTTGAAACCATGTTGACTTTTAGTGTGGGTTAGATGGCCCTAGTTACTTTTAAAGTTACTGCTTCATGCTTTACTGTCCTTGCTTCGGCAATTTAGATGTGGCTCTGTCAAATTGAATGTCTTAATTTTATGGACTGAATTCTGGTCCAGCATCTGTGAGCTTGTAAAGTACCAAATGAGAAGTAAAACTGCAAGAGGATTATCACAGTCAGCGTGTGAGTATGCTGACTCTGATACAGTCACTAGGTTCATTCCCAGGGTTAAAATTACTCTTGCAACAGACAAAAGTAATTTCTATAAGGAGAGGTAGGAGAAAGTATATTGCTGGGTCAGGAGGTATAACAGGGAAATGAGAACTGTGCCATCTGGCCCCATCTTTCTCTGCAGCTTAGCAAGGGAGCCATATTTTGGAAAAGAAAATATTACTTTGCACACTCCTTATGAAACAGATTTCAAAGTTTGCTTGCAATATCCATCTACTGCCCAATGACTATGGTTTGTTCTTATACTTCAATACCATGTTTCTGAATACTTTATCTACTCTTACCTTTATCTAATAATTGACATTAAAAAGTCTACTTTTTTTTATCTATCTAGACAATTAATACCACCTAATCTATTACTTTTTTTTTTTACTCAAAAGTAACTCATTTTCTTAGTAACAAGTTTTAAACATAGGATTATAGAAGGCATATTTTTTGACTGATTTATTTAACAAGATAATTATGTTACATTTTTATATCTTGCTGCTTTGGAATGAAAAGATCTTTCGGACATGCAGATTAGGAAAACAAATCACAATAGTCTAGTTCATATATCAATTCAGCAAACATTTCTGAGTATCTCTGGTTATAGGCACTGATTATACAAAGGTGAGTAAGACAAAAATTTCATAGCAGCACTGTCAGGTAGATCTTTCTTTGATGGTGGCAATGTTATATAGCTGCATTGTCCAATATAGTAGCCTCTAGCCATACGTAGCTATTGAGCAGTTGAAATGTGGCCAGTGTCGAAGAAGCTAAATTTTCAAATGTTCTTAATTTTAATTAATAACATTTAAATATTTATACATGGCTAGTAGCCACTGTATTGGATAGCACAGGTAATAGCTAAAGCTGACAAGGGAAGAGTGACAATCTGTAGCAGAAATGGTGGAGCATCTTTCCCACTCTTGATGTTTCTTTTGAAGTGAATGGAGCTCCATCAGTAAATCTCAGGACCTTTTTCTTCCCCTTTCTTAACTACATCAGAGGAGATGGCATGACTGATATGGTTGGTGAGTTTAGAAGTAATTACTATGCTCATCTTAGTTTCTCATCATCGTTTAGGTGGGAGGGAGCTCCCCACAGAGGGCTGGTATTCTATGCTGCTCAGCCAGGGGAAGAATCTCCTCCCCAGCATAGTAAAGTCTGCCCCTCTCTGGACTTCTGTGACAGGACAAGCCTGCCCAATAGTAGGTTCAGTTCATGAAGACTATTTGGCTCTCACACCTAAGCTACAGCCCCTAGCTTAGATTTTATTAGTAATAATGGTACTATTTTAGTCCCATTTATCTTGTCTTGTTTTTCACTTGGTTCCTAATCTAAGAGCTCTAAAAAAAAAAAAAAAAAACAAACCAAACCAAACAAAAACAAACAAAACAATCCAGTATGCAAAATGCAGTCCTGTATGTTAGTACAGGCTTATGCATTATGTGTTGTATCATCTAGGTCAGATCTAACACTTTCCAAAGGGCTACACCATGGAGGATTCTGAAGTCCCGCCTAAAGGATGAGCAAGAAGTCACTGAATGTTGAGCAAGAGAAAACCACACCACCAAAAAAGAGGATTAGTAGCTTTTTATGGTCATATAATAGTAATGGATATACAATTACCTTGGAAAAAAGTAGAAAGATAGAAATCAAAAGCATCAAAGTTTGAAGAATTCTGAGCTCTTATAAGCTTATTCCCTCATTTACTTCCTTTTTAAAAGCCTATCCTTTTCATATACAGCAGGTCTTCCAATAACATTGTTTCTCTCAGCATTGTTTCATTATAATGGTGATGAGATGCCTAGGAACTTAACTCTTGTTTATATCAATTACTTTATGGTAAAATCAGTTTTATTATACATCATTTCACTTAAAGATGCAGAACCTATCAATGACATTAAACAAAGACTCACTAGAATTGTCATTTCCTTTTAGAAAACCAAAATTATTTATACTACTTTAAAAATGTATGAAGATAAGATTTCTCAGGCTCAGCACTATTGACATGTTGATGCAGATAATTCTTTGTTGTTGGGAGCTGTTGAGTACCTCCAGTTCAGATGTAGGATGTTTAGTGGCATCCTTAGTCTCTACCTACTAGATGCCAGTAGGACATCAACCGCCATGGTGGCAATCAAAAATGTCATCAGACATTGCCAATTACTTTCTTGGGGATAAAATTGTCTCCAGTTTAGAATGACATCACTAAATCTTTTGTGGCTTTATTTGGACCAGAGACAGTAATTTATTATTTCTCTTGATACTGTGTGGCTTCCCATAATGTCAGCTAGAATAATGGCAAGATCTAACTCCTCACTCTGTGGTAAGCATTTGGTGCTAGCTGCTGGCTGCGGGCACAGCTGAGACCATCAGTCTCTGTTCTCCTCCATATGGCATAAGTGGTTGCCCATTCTTTTCCATGGCATGGTGGTCTCAGTGTGGGCAAATTTCTTAGATGGCAATTGGCTTCCAAGGTGCCAGGTCTTCCCAGGACGCAGGCCAGGAGCAGATGCCATGTCACTTATTCTTCATTCAGTGAGTTCAAACAGGTCCCAGGGCCAGCCCAGATGCAAGGGGAAGAGATTGCATAAAGGTATGAAACCCAGGAGATGTGGTGCCCAAGGATATACCAAAACACCGTCTGACACACGCTTCAACCTTCAATGTGAAGGTTGTACAAAAATTTGCTGTATAAAATTTTGTTGTACAAAAGTGAGCTCCTGACCTCCTCCTATAGCTGTTTCTCCTGCCTTCTATGTACCAGCAACACCAACTCTGTCTTCCCATGTACTTGGGTCAGTTTGGAGTCATCCTTAACTTTTCTGTTTCCCAGGCCCACAACTGCTCTGTCAGCATATCTGGATGGCTCCACCCTCAGAATACATCCAGAACTCAACAACTCCTCACAAGAGAAATACGATTACTCCAACTGTTTTTTCATTAATCAAGATCAACCAATAAGGCTAACAAGAAACCATTCAAATGAAACCAAAGCTCCGGCAGTGGGAAAATGGGGATCAGGGATTAGGAATGCACTCAACAGTCTCACAGTCTCTGAGGGCCAGGACTGAGATGGGGAATGGGTACAGACAAACCAAACCTCTGAGAAAGGGCTGGTGGAGCTGGAATGCTAGGCTGGTAGAAGAGAAGACTCAGAATCCATGGTAGCTGTCTTCAAATCTCCATTGAACTAGGGTGAGACAGAGGGATGTGGCCTTTCTCGGTGACAGTTCGGAGAGTGTGTGATAATTAAAAGGAGGAAACCAAAGGTTGTAGATGGCACCTCGACACAAGAAGGAAATGTACACAGATCTGAGGAGCTCCAAGGTGGAATGGGCTGTCCCAGTGGGCAAGGGACACCACATAATGTGCAGACACCCAAGGGGCTGGGTGAGCATGGGCCAGAACACTGTAGAAGACATTGACGTTGGTGTCCAAGGTTTCTTGGCGAGTGAGGGAATGGGGGAGGGAGAGGGATGGGCTTTAAGATCCCTTTCAGTTTGAGATTCTGTGATTCTCTGACAGTTAGTTGTATTTCCTAAAGATGATTACTAATAACTTCTATCCCAAAAGCTCTCGTGAATGAGTGACTTTGTGATTCTTCTCTTAGAATCTGGTGTGGCTTTAGCAGCTCCTTTGCAGCAACAGTCTATGTGGAAGTAGTGCTGCCTGACTTCCAAGGTTAGTTTAGGAAAGTTTATGCAGCTTTCACCTGGTTCTCAGGAGACTCCCTCTTAGAACCCAGAACCATATTGTGAGAAGCCCAAGCCACATGGAGGTGCCATGTATTGGTGATTTGAGCTGCAGTACCAGTCAAGCCTAGCCTCTGCGTCATCTCAATCAATGCAGTCAGGAAAAAGAATGGGAATGAGAAGCTTCCAGCTGAGTCTGGCCTCAGCATTTGAGTTTCCCCATCTGAAGCCCCAAATGTCACGGAGCAGAGATAAGCCATCTCTACTGCATCTGAATTCCTGACCAATATATTTTGTGAATGCAATAAAATGGTTCTTCCAGTGTGCCACTAGGTTTTGGGGTAGTTTGTTATACAGCAATAGATAACCTCAATAGACCCCTAGCAGGCTCAATACCAATACATGACTCCTTCCTCTTCCTAGAAGCTCTGGCTCTGGTTGGTTCTGGAGTTCAGAGCCTGCCAGCAGCTGTGGTAAAAGATGGCATCTTTCCCATTCTTGGGGTCTCAGCCGAGAGGTAAGGGAAGAGTCTGGAACATAACCCAGTGAGTTCTCAATCCTTCACACAGAGGCAAAGCATAATCATGACCTTTATCCCATGGAAGCTT